CACCTGTATTTTTAAAATAATCCAATCCACAGGAATGAGAGAACTAAAGCTGGACAAAAGTTTATGTGAAAAAAATCTGAGTGACAGTGCTCCTGAAAGGTGCCCTGATCAGACCACATCAAACTGGCTACATTCAGCTTCTTCTGCCATGCTCTCAGGAAGGACCCTGACAAAATGTAGCCACATCCAGGAGCTGAACCAGGACGAGAGGCCTGGAGACCACAACATACGAGAACTGCATGAAGGAAATGGAGGATCCAGCCAAGAGAAGAGAGAAGACTGGAAAAAACACGGCAGTCTGTTTTCCAAGTGGCTGACACACTGTCACGTAAAAGAGGAATCAGCCTTGTTCTTCTTCCCTCAAAGGACAGAACTACAAGGAAAAAGGGCAGAAGAAGCAGCACAGAGACAGACTTCCTTCTGACGTACAGTGACTGGAGCTGCCCGAGGACCAAGGCCTGGTGGAGCCACATAGGCAGAGGCCTTCGAGTGGAGGATGAACATCCTCTTCCAGATTAGTCCATCCGTCTGGGTACACAGTGGACTACACTGCTGTGGAGGTTCCCACTGAGGCTCTGTGAGTCTATGATTTTGAGGGCAGGAGCAAGATCTGAAGTCAGAAAACCAGGGTTCAAATCCCACATCTTTCACTTGCAACTTCAGTAACCATGAGCAAGTCATCTGAACCCTCTTCTCAGTTTCCCCATCTGCAAAATGAGGGTGTTGGACTAGTACAGGGGTTCTTTCTCCTCCCCACTGAACTTGGATATGAAAAAAAATTACATCTAGTTCTATCAGCAGCTGATAAGTTCTTGAGGAGCCCATTAGTGAGGCTAAATGACCTGTGATGGCAACAGGAATTCTCTCAGCACTGTAGGCAGAAAATGCTCTCTACTCTGTGGACTGTTCCCCTGTTGTGCTGGAGCCTCAGGGGCAGCATGGCAGGATTGAGATACTTGAATTTCATCATTATCGTTGCTGCTGCTGCTGCTGCTGCTCTTATGATTTGGAAACACAAGCTGTAAATGTTGAAATGACTCCTGCACAGCCCTGCTGAGGAGACCTCATATGCAGCTCCATCTTCATGGCCAGAATTTCCTCCCAAGTAATTTATCCATGGGAAAATCTGGCAGGAAAGCCATTTGGATAAGGACGGGCTGAGGGCCGTTGCTAAGAGAAAGCAGGCAACAGTGAAGAGAGGATATTCATTAAAAGTCCATTTGCTTGCTTGACCTCAAAGACAGCCTGGTATCTCTCAGAAAGAAAAGCGGTGGTAGCCAGAGCAACAGTAGAGGGAAGCAGAATCCCCATAGCAATGAGGAAGCTGAGGAATGAAGGCTGGGTCATGCGCAGAGCAGGAGCTGGCAGCTCCCCTGATACTGCCCCGCGTCAAAGACACAAATCACCCCCAACACCAGCACAGGGGACCTTCGGTCTCTGCGTGTGCCTCTAGAGTTACATCTTCCCCTCAACAAGTCAGCGCCAACCTTAAGCTCATGACCTGCTCTGACTCAGAGTGGGCTGAGAAGCCCTCCTTGACCAGCACCACTCACCTTTTTTAAGCCTCAGTTTTCTTATCTGCAAACCAGGTATTCAGAGCATTTGTGTGGGGGCGGGGGGGGGGGAAGGCAGCCTGCTGAGAGCCTCAAATGATGTGTCAACCCTAAGCCTTCTCTAAAGGTAAGTCACGGTGATGATGAACCCTTACTTCACAGAACTTAACAACGTTTGCCAAGTGCTCTCACCTCTACTATTTCATTCCCCCAGGAAGTCTGGGAGACAGGCAGGAACAACAGACTGAACACCCTCTTGGGTCTCTACTAAGCAGTTCCTATGTGCCAAGCACCGGCAGTAGGTGCTTGAGAATGCAAATATAGTCTGTCTTAAAGTCTAACGGGGGAAGATGACATAGAGAGGGGAGTTGCAGACAAGGAGAGAGCTCCGGGTGCGGTGAGCAGGGCCATAGGGGAAAAGAGGGACATTCTCCTTCCAGGTGCAAGGGTAGATATAATCAGAACTACAGAGCTGCCGGGGTTGGGACTGGTCAGGATGGGAAGATGCCATTGAAGGTACAGAGGCAGCCTAGTGGAGATGGTCAGGGGGTAGGAAACGAAAGGAGCATATAGCTGAGGCCTGCCTGAAACAGTGAGCTGGGTGGGAGAGTCACCAATCGGGGAGAAATGGGGGCTCGGGCGGACCCTCCAAGACATGATCTCTGGGAATGAAGTGGATTGAAACCTGGCTGGGATCTACCTGAAACAGCATAGGCCAGGTGGGGGCAGCTCCCAGGCACAGGCAACAAAATGAGTCCACGAAGGTCAGATGATTCTCCTGACTCTGGTTTCATTCTTTTTCCTAAACCAAGCTGCCTCTCTCAGAGGAGGAGGGGGTTATGAAATTCTCTCTTAGCTCTCAAAGTACAATTACTGTAGCTGTTAATTTGAAAAGCAAATCTACCTCATATGGTATTTCTTTTGGTTAGGGAATGAGAGGAGGGGAAAACTAAAATGAAGGCAATAACCTTTTGTGATAACCAAAAAAACCCTAGAAACGAAGTACCCATCCATCAATGGAAAATGGCAGAACAAAACCAGTGTGGCGTGATGAGTACAATGGCACATCACTGCACCGAGGGGAGGGCAGGTAGGAGGAAATCTGGGAAATGACAAGACCGGGGCAAAGTAACGCACAGGAAGCAGAGAGCATGGCTGGACACAGCTCCAAGAAGATGCAGTGATGACTTCTGGCTCTGGGGAACAGATAAGGAAACATATAGCCCTCCTCAGTGAAGAGGTGGGGGTGGGGTGGGCTGGGGGGCGGCTTGTGGCAGCCATGGGAACAGAATAACAGATTACCATCAGGCTCAGTTACTGTGTTGGTTAAGGGTTTGTTTGTGTATGGCTTTTTTAAGCTTCTATTTATTTAATATTTTTATTTATATCCTTTGTTTTTAATATCATTTTCATTTTCCTCCTCCCTCTCCTATCCAATGAGCCATCCCTTGTTTAAAAAAAAAAAAAAGAAAAAGAAGGGAACAAGGCAGTTCAGCAATCTCATATTTTGATTATTTTTACTCGATTGTTTTTCTTTGTTTCAAGAACGGGTTCTATAGAGGAAAGAGGCAATCCTGGAGAAGAACTGCAGTGGTTTTTAAAAAGCACCATTAGAATCTGATAATTCTAACCACCAGCACCACCCCCCCCAAAAAAAAAAAAACCATTAAATAAAAGCAAGGCGATCACACAGTAACGTCAGTTCAAAAAAGTCAGGAATCCTTCCCCAGCACAGTGGCCATGCCTGCCTCCCTCCTGCAACCTTTTCTCTCTTTCTTCTACTTTGGTCACGGCCAGCCTCAGATACTTCTCCATGAATTCCTAAGGAAGGCTTCCCTGGAGATGCCCTGAGGAATTCTGAGCAAGGCTTCACTGTCCAGACAGCAGCCTCTAACGGTCCTCACTGAGCTGGGAAACACCGGATACCAGGGCCTGTCCCCAGGTTCCAGGCATTAAGTGGGGAGAATTCCACCTCCTAGGATAAGCTGAACCCTCTGTCCTCTCTCCCCCTCCCAGAATTTTCCCATTCAAACTATCTAGTCCCACCCATACCCGAAAGGAATCACCATCATAACACAGGGAATGACCCTGGAAGCTTCGACTTCAAAGCCTCTCAGTGGGTCAGGACCTATCCCCTCCACAGCAGCCCATTCCATGCTGGGACACCTCGAGTTCATCAGGAAGTCAGGCTTGACATTAAGCCTGTATCTGCCTCTGCAAATATCACCTGTTCTTTCTGGCTGTGCCCTCTGGGACCAAAGAGAAGGCCCATCCCTCACACAGCATGGCCCTTCGAGCATCCCAGAGCCATCATGACTGCTTTGAGCCTTTTCTTCTCTTGCCAAGGGGCTTCCCCTGATCCTCATGACACAGACCCCAAGACCCCACGCCATCTTGGTTACCCTCCACCAGACCCTCTTCAGCTTATCCATGTCCTTCTTAAAGTTCGGCAACCAGGGGCAGCTAGGTGGTGCAGCGGATAGGGCACTGGCCCTGAAGTCAGGAGTGCCTGAGTTCAAATCTGGCCTCAGACCAAACATTTGACACTTACTAGCTGTGTGACCCTGGGCAAGTCACTTAACCCCAAATGCCTAAAAATAAAATAAAATAAATAAAATAAAGTACGGCAACAAGAACCAAATACAATCTACTAGAAACGGCCCCCAAAGAACAGATCAAGCTGGATTATGACATCATTTCTGCAAACTACAGCCTAAGACCAAGGCCAAGGGAAGCATTAGCTCCTCTGTCTGGCCAACATGCTACTAACTTGGACTGACCTCCAAGTCTACCAAGACCCCCACAGCTTTAAATGCTGTCTCACCATGCCTGCCCTAGGCTTGGGATGCTAACTTTTTGTACCCAAGGGTAAGATTTTACATTTATCTCTACTGGACTTCATCTTATCAGAGTCAGCCCAATCCTCTAGCCTGGTAAGATCTTTTCGGATCCTTACTATCATCCAGTGTTTTAACTACCCCTCCCACCTTTATGTCATCTACAAATTGGATGATCACACCTTTTGGCCATGCCCTGCCACACACAGAGCAGCCAACGTGATTGATAAGGGATGAGGGGTCTGGGCACTCCAACAGGATCCCAACCTACCTTTAGGTTTATCGAACACACTATTATCAAACACAACTGCAGAATATCAAGAGCTCAAAGGGCTTCCTGTTCCCCCTCCTCACTCCCCATTATTCACATGAGAAAACAAGAGGCAACTTGCAAAGGATCACTCTAGGTTACCAGGATTGAAAAGAAGTCCTTCCCTGTGCTTGCGACACTGTCTCCCTCAGGGAAGACAATGTGCCCACAAGCATTCGGGGTCCCTTCAGACACTCCAACATAGATACGTACTCCCCATCCAGAGTCACAATGCACCTCTGAGGACCCATCCTTGTAGCTGGCATCTTACCATTAGGTGACATGAGCTCATTGACTTACCCAGTGCAGGGACCCGATGCAAACCTTTGCAGCCAAGAGGGGCACGGTGGGATCACCAGGACGAAGCTTCGAGCATTCCTTTAGCACTGACACGGCGTGTGCCGACTGCCAAATGAAGAGGGAAGGTAGAAACAGTGTCACTCATAGGGCCTTGAGTAGTAGCAACAGCTTACAGGAGCCACCTCTGCACCCAAGGACTCGTCTCACTCATCTAAAAGGGCTATACATACGTATGTGAACACACAAACATGTATGCAGGTGCCCATGTGTGTACACATACTTAGGAGGCACCCACTTAGGTACCACAACACAGAGCCATCCATGGGCACTCTGCCCCCAGAATACAGGACTGCAAACATCATCAGGCTCAGAATCAGGGAGAAAGGGAGCCCCAGAGCTCAGGACCACAGCCTCCAGAGGCTTCCTTCCCTTGGTTCTTCCAAGCTCACTGTTCTCTCCTCTCCAAAGATAACCTGAGCAACAATCCTCCTCACGGTGTGGTGGCAGGCCCTCCACGTCAGCCCTTCCGCTTTCCAACCTAAACTATGAGGCCAAATAGGCTTTGCCCCATCTCGGGCCTACTACAGGCTTTTCAAGTCAATGCAATAAGCATGTACAGAGCTGTCCGCTAAGTACTCAGTCCCATGCTAGGCACTATGGAAGATACAAGAAAAGGGAAAGAAAGAAGGGAAATTCTCTCCTCCCTAGGAACTCAGAGGCAGGTCTAGATCAGGAATCCAAGATGCTACTTTTGCTTAGACATACTAAAATCAAGAAAATGAGAGGTTAGGAAAAGAAGAGGTAAGGAGGGAGCAGTCGCGGTGAACATGTGGTCTCACACAAGGGAATTCCCTTCCTGCCCTGCTCTCAAGGAATTACAGTCTAGCTGAAGAAACCCAATGAAGGAATATCAGAAGCAGTCTATGATCATATGCTTTACTGTATATGTCCAACCTCTGAGTACTACTCCAGTCCTGAGCATGGCAAGATCGGTATGAGCCGCAGTCATCAGAGAAGAGGAGTGCATTGGAGGCCAGAAAGAAATTGAACCACGGCTGCTTCCCTAAAGCTGCTCTTCTTCCTTCCTTCTCTGGACTTTGTAGCCATGACACAAGCTCAGCCTGGCCCAGTCAGGATGTTTTAGCAGCAACTGCCTTCGCAGCATAGTGCTAGGCTGGGTGGGGACTTGGGAAGAAGGGGAGGAGAAGAGGGCAAGGGTCTGTGACATCCAAGATCTCCCCCCCTCCCCCATGCCTTAGTCAGCCTCAGGCGTTTCCTTCTCCCACTCTGGGGCTGCTGACCTTTGGAACAGGATCCTTGGAATGCTGAATCCTCTAACTTTGACCTCCCCAATCCCCATGAAGGGATACTATTTAAGGAGTCATCTGAGGACTCAACAATCAGGAGCTAGAGTAGGGGTGGGGGCAGGCAAAAGAAGAGAGGGGCTTCAAAAAAAAATGGTGGTTACCTAGCAACTGAGTCTATGCTTTTGCTGAGAAAACCAACAGAAGGAGCAACCTAAATCATCGAACTCATACGTTATTACTGCAGGATGATGTGCCAGATATATTTATATCTCCCAATCTAACCTTCTGGAAGGCCTACCGGGGGCGGTCACAGCCATGGAACCTCAACTCCAACTTTAGGCTCCTGATAGAGATGCAGTCTTAAGTGCCCCCCCCACCCCTTCCAGCCCAGTCAAGGTCACCCTATTCAGATGGTGCTGTTGGGAGGAGCACAGACTGGTTTAGTTAACAGACAAGGATCTACTCCCAGACAGACCTTGTGATGTATCCGATGCCCCTTGGAAGGATCCCCCCAAATCACAAGACATCGGTCAGCCCAAATGCATCCTCTTGGCCCTCAAGAACTGACCAAGGCTGGCTGTAACAGTAAATCTTTGAATCCTTCAGTTCATCTCTCTGGCAAAAACTCCTCCTGTTCCTGTTCCCCAGAGCCACCCAAAGGGCCCAGCCCTTCAGAGCAGCAGTCTCACTGTAACTTGTGGTACCATGCACAGGGGTGTGAGCTTATCAAAAGGATCCTCCATCTCTTCTACAGACTCAGCTGCCTAGATATTCAAATCCAACGCCATTCCCTGAACTTGGAATTAAAAAAAACCCATCCACTTTATAGCTATATGTTATTGATGAACTACAGAATTTTAGCAATAAAAGCGAATGTGGAGGTTGTCTGGTCTAAAACCTTTATCTGACAGACCAGGAAACTGAGGCCCAATGACAACGACTTGCCCAAGAGAGCAAGGTCAGAATGCAGTTCTCTGACTACAAATTCAGGACTTATTCAGTCCTTACAATGCCCTAGGAGGCAAGTGGAGAAGATGTTATTATCTCCACCTTACAAATAATGAAGCTGAGGCCCAGAGGGCTGAGGTGAATTTCCCAAGGTTACACAGCTACTTAGTGGCAGATCCAGAACTCAGATCCCCTGACTCCCAGTCCAATATTCTCCCCATGGCACCACCCTAATGTTCTATTTCTCATCCACCAAGGCTGTGCCTAGGCTCCCCTCCCCATCAAAGTAAGGACCCAAACCCAGATCTTCCCCCCCAGAAGGGAGCAAGGCCAGAGGCCAAACCCCATGAGATAACACAGAAGAGAAAAGGGCTGACATGAAGCAATACTGAGCACAGCAGCCCTGGGCAACCTGTCAAAGCCCCAAACCACCAACTGGGTAGGGCGGGGCCAGGCCAGGCTGTCTCTCCTCATCTTCTCCTCCTCCTCCTCCTCAGTCCAGGAGGCAGTGGAGACCTGCCTGACAGGTCTCTGCAGTGTCCCCCAAACGAGCCCTGCTTGTCCTCACCTCAGTTCCTCCTCCTCCCTGGAAAGTCCTCCCCACCCTCTCCCTCTCCATCCTTCAAGGCCCAGGCTCCTCTTCTGTTTCTCCTTAAACCTCTCACAGCCTGGGATATCTGGACCACTTGGGGGCTGATGTTCTCAATGAAATCAGAGCTGCGTGTGTGTGTGTGTGTGTGTGTGTGTGTGTGTGTGTGTGTGTGTGTGTGTGTGTGTGTGTGTGTGTGTGTCGGTCATGGGCTCTGCTGGAGCACAAGCTCTGTGAGGGAAGGGACATCTCATTTTGTCTCTGCAGTGCACAGAGTCAGCACTTCATTAACACCGGCGAACTGAACTGAATTCCTTTAGAAGCAGCAGCAAGACAATGTAGAAAGGGCAGACTTAAAGTCTACTGAGGCCAAGTCTTGACTCTGGGGTTAAGAGCTCTAACACATACTGGCTGGGGTGGTAGCTTTGTGCCTCAGTTTTCTCACCTGTAAAATGGGGGTGACCATCCCTGCACTACCCACCTCGAGAGTGCTGTTGTAAACTACTGCACACCCCACAGGCCTGCACCAACACTGGCGGAAGTGTCCCTCGGGTGGCCCTCTGGGGATGGCCACAGACTTCGCCTCCCGAATCCTAGAGCTGGCACTCGCTTCTCTCCTGCTGCTGGGGGCCAGAGGACATGCTTTCTTGCTGCCTTCCCAGATGACCCTGGCCAGGTCACTTACCTCTCTGACCCCCGTTTCTAGTCTATAAAAGGTCCAGATGACCTTCCAAGTGCCTTCCAGCCCTCAATCTAGGATTCTATGTCCTGAATCACATTCACTTGGTGTGTGTGCATGAGCCTCGTGATCCCTGGGCAGGGGGTGGGAGAGAGAAGGGTGAGAGGGGGAGGGAGGGCTTTATCTCTCTGGAGCCTTCACTGAGTGCTGCCATAGAGAGCTGTTAATAAATACTGAATATTTATTCCAGGTTCTGAGAACAGAGACTTTTTGCCTAGTGGGGGTGGGAGTAATGGGAAGCACCTGGTATGGGTTAACACTTACCTGCCTGGAGAAGGATTCTTCAGATACCAGGCCACCCCCTCCACCCCTATTCCCCATACTGTATTCCTTGCTCCCAGGTTCTTTCCCCACCAGTCACTGGGGGAGTAGTCACCTCCCTCATCATTCCCATCCCCCCCAAACCCAGCCATGGTGGGCTTGCAGAAGGCTTGGCAATGGCTGTCCTAGCCCCCATCAGCAGGATTACGCATTGCAGATTCTAGGCGAGGCCTCCTCAGAGAATCCCAGGAAGGGATACTGCACAGATGGGTAGGGAGGGGCAGAGAGGAGGGAATTCCCTCAGCCCCATAAAAGGCTCAGGGTATTTACAGCTCTTAGATCAATTTGCAACCTCATGCCACATTACTTCCTCCATCCCTCCCCCATACCTAACGCCCTCCTCCTAACACCACAGCCCAAGGAAGGTTCTCTGCTCAGGACTCATGTCGGTGCCTAAAATAGACATTTATGTAAGTCTCGTTCTGACCTGGTAAGGAATGAAGACAAGGTAGGGCAAGGGGGCTGAAGTGGTACACTGGCAGGGGAAAGTGGTAGAGAATCACTGCATGCCAACCTCTCCCCACCCCCAGTCTGAGCCCCTTTAAGTCCTCACATCTTTTCACTGGACTTTGGATGAAGAATCCATCTCATCATACCCTAGTCCTGCTAACAAATTTTATGACAGCTGCCTCAACCTTCCTCCTAGGCTCCCCTAATGCACGGGTCACAGGCCCAGGAAACATCAACAACTGTTTCTCATTTCCAGAGCTCACTCAAATTGCCCGAGACAAAGCCCTGAACCAGCCAGCAAGGAGCAAACAGCCAGGATGGGCTGCCTTTTGTAAGACAAGTCACGAATGCAGACACAGACACAGACACACAGGGGCCCATGGGGAAATTCATCCATGTTACATGTGCACACATAAACATATAAGAACACTCATGCAGACATATCAGTACTGTTGAGGAGCACATAGCAATTCTCTCCCACACCCCAAAGATGCATAAATGAACTTATCTCACACACACATACATCTTCTGACAATAAAAAAGAAATTTCATTTTTCTCTGAGGTTACCAAGAGGCAGGAAATGAATTCCAGTATCCCACATGTCCATCCATTTTCAGGCAAATTACTCGACCCCAAGGGAAAAAGGAGGGAAAGAAAAAGGAATCTTTTCCTAGGCAATAGCATGCAGCCAGTGGGAGATGATACAGATGTGCATGGGATGGAAAAACAGCCAGGGCCTTACCTTCCCACAAGCCACCATGGAGAGGGCGAGCTGATACCAGAGGTGGAATTCTTCACAGGCAAACTTGATGGCTCGTTCCAGGCACTGGGAAAGCAAAGGGCACCAGAGTCAGGGGCTGCAGTGCTCCTGGATATACTGCCCTGATCCCCTGTGGCTTCTTGGGGGGAGCGAGGTAGGCTCAGCAGATGGTACTGGACTTGGAGTCAGGAAGATCCGAGTTTGAATTTTGCCCCAGATATTTATTAGGTGTGGGGTCTCTCTAGACTCTTTTCCTCCTCTGTAAAATGAGGAGTTAGACCTCTTTACCTCTAAATCTATGACTCTAAGAACTTCAGCACAAACTGGGGGCTGATTTGGCTCCTTCCTGGAGAGCCCACCCAGTGGTTTGACGAGTGGACACTGGCAGGCTCTTGTGACTGCTTGGCCATTGACATGACTGAGTGACCTTGGCTAAGTCCTCTCCTCGAGGCTTAGTTTCCTCTTCTGTAAAACCACCCCACTAGCTTTCCCTATCTCACAAGGTCATGATGGGGATTGGACAAAATAAGGTACATAAAAAATGCTCCTGAAAAGTTAAAAGTATTATAAATATGGGATTTATATTAGCCACCATCACTGTCATCATCATCATCACGCTTTCTCTTTTGTTCATCTTCAGAAAGAAACTGAGCTAAAACAACGCCATGAACAATTCTGGGGGAGATAAGAAGAGTAACTTTAAGGCAAAAGTGGGCAGCCCTTCGACACTGGAATGGGTGTGGGGCTGATTCCCAGCCTCCAACCTCACTGGGTGAGGCTTCAATATGTCCCCAAAGGGCTGGAGGGATGGTTCCAGGGAAGCCTCAGGAAAACCCATCTCCACGCCATTCTGAGGCAGAAGCAAGCATGCTGGCTCAGGACTGGACCAACGTCCAGGTGAGGGAGCCCCCTGGTGGAGTGCTACCATGAACACAGCAGGGCTGAAGTGGAGGTGGGAGGGCAGTCACTCACACATCCTTCACATCTCCTACCCCAGGGGTGTGCTAATGGTCACCAGGAAGATTAAATAAGGGCATGGGGACAGTTCAGGGCAGCCCACCCCTCGGCTAGAGGTTGCATGGACAGTGGGCCCATTTAATTTCATGAACATGAGTCTTGGCCAGAGCTTGAGAGGGCGTGGCACATGGTAGGCACTTCATAAATGCTCGTTGACTGGTCTTGACTTGCCCTCCTGGGAGCTACCCATACACGGCTCCTGACCCTGGGCATGTGGCTTGGGTCTCACTCTAGATGCCCAGCTTGAAGCTCCACCAAGATAAATACAGAAGCTAACTTCCTTGGCCTCTCAGAATCTGGGAAAGGAAGCCCCCAACCTCCCATCCTAGTCAAGAGTCTCCACAGGACGGACACAGAAGAGTTCAAGGACGCCGAAATTTCACTCTTCTGGCTTATCCCAGGGTCCAGGTTCTTTTCTGCTTTGTCTGTCTCCCTGGACTCTAATCCCCTAAATGTCACAGGGAGCCTGGGCCCAAAGGCAACAACTAGCCTTGCTGAAACGAGGGAACGGTAAGCTCCTGTACCTCAGAGAGCATGACATACTGCCCTCTTCTGCCCAACGTGATACTCAGAAGGTCGTAGACTGTGGAGGCATCCCGGAGACTGATGGTTCGGTCTTCTTTCTGTTCTGGTGAACGGCTCAGAACCACTTCCCGGGTTGCCTGCAGGTGAAAGATAATTTGGGGATGAAAATACCTAAGGCCTTAGAGACAAACAGGTCACTGAGTATCCAGAGAAGTCTGTCTTCTGGCATCTTCCTGGCACCCTGGCCATTACCACGCCTCAGCAAAGCCCAGGCCTTGGCCACGACAACAATGAGATGAAAAACTCCAGTACAACCCCATCTCACCCCCACAGGCCAAGCTGGATCACTCACCCACCATTTCTGAGACAGTGCACCAGGCATTCCAGCTACATCATCTTCTCTAGCTCAGACTCAGAATTCTGCTTTGCATTCATGTCCCTAAATCACCGCAGACTATTGTAAACATCAACAGTCTTAATTTTAAAAAAACAAACAATTTCAGGTAGGGAAGGGTCAGTTCTGCTTCCTACTCACAGAAGGAAAACTGAGGTGATAAAAAGGGATAAGAAACTAATTCAGAGAGCCCTTGTCCTATATGTACTGCTACTTTCCTTTCCCATAAAAATCTTCCCTTCTCTCTAGGTGACACAGTAGATATAGAGGGCTAGAATTACAGTTAGAAAGATCCGAGTTCAAATCCAGCCTCAAACACTTAGTAGCTGTGTAACACTGGGTTAAGTCACTTAACCTCTTTGCCTCAGCTTCCTCATCTGTAAAATGGGGAATAACGATAGCTCCTGCCTTCCAGGGCTGCTGGGAAGACCAAGTAAGATAACAGGTAAAGTGCTTTGGAGACCTTAAAGTGCTATGGAAATGTGACCTACTATTATTAGCTATTATTTTATAATGCTCTATGAATGCTAGCTGATATTTTAAGTACTTGAAGATTCCAAAAAACACCATCTCACTTGATTCTCACAACTCCAGGAGGCGGGGGTTATCATCCCCATTCTACTGCCGAGGAAACTATAGGAAAGAGAGATTAAGTGACTCGCCCAGGTGTCTGAGGCAAGACTTGACTCAACTCTTCCTGATTCTAAGGCCAGCCCTCCATCCTCTGCCCCACCTCGCTGTTCTACAGATGCCAGCTGCCATCATTCTATTTCTCACCCCACCATGGAACTCTGCTCAGTTCCATGACCAACCGCCCTCCCCAGTGGAATTCTCCCTTCTGCTCCCTCCCTAGGACCAGACCCCCTTGCTTCTACTCCCTGTATCCACTCAAGAACCTCTTCCTTCTGCTCTGCCCACATTATGGAACCCTCCTCAGCTCCATCAAGGGATTCTTGTCTTCTGAGCTCAACCACAGACTCCTTTCTCTCTTAGCTCTCTGCCCTCATGCTCACAACTCTTTGGTTTCCCTACTGCAAGTCTGCAGATTTACCAGATGGCTACCTGGGAAAAGGTGTAAGGGTGGGAGGGGGAGCACTCGAATTCCAACCTGAGGCATGACATAAAGCAACCTCACCCTGAATTTCCTCCCTTGCTGGCTCTAGGTTCAACAGGGCTCTCTTGCTTTCAGACATGTCTCAAGCTTCACCTTCTACATGAAACCTTTTCCGATCTCTTGTAATTGCCAGTGCAATGGCCTACCCTGCATTTCTTTTCTATGTATTTATTCTGCATCTACTTATATCTGTACATGTTGTCAACCTAGACAGAAGAGAAACTCCTTCCAAGTAGGGGCTGTTTCATTCTTTGTATCTCTATCCCATAGTTCAGTAGGGGCTTAGTAAATACTTTTCGATTCATTGATCTGCTTTCTGCCATCCCTTTTAAGACCTGATTCCCCTGCCAGAGGCAACAGACTAAACCCTAAACGGAATGGGTCAGTTGGCCAGACTCTGAAGGAGGGGAGGCTGAGGGGAGCTGGCTTCCCAAGCCAGCCTGGCCAGGCAGTATCTATTAGGGCAGCATACTGCGGCAGACCTCTCCAAACCTGAAGTCTTACACGCCATCCTGCTATCACTTGTTACTGTGTGAGACAGAGAGCAAAAACAGATGTGGACACAGAACATCTGGGCCTGAATCCTGATTTTGACTATCATTAGCCATACAACCATAAATATGTCACTTAACCTCTTTAAGGCTGTTTCCTTACCTGTAAAATGGGAAGAATAATATTGGCACAATCTAACCTTGCAGGGGTATAAAGTGTGGGCTCATGCTATTTTCTTCCTCTAATAAAAAGGAACCTCAGGGTCAGCCATTCTTTCTCTATTTAATTCAACTTAACATCACAGGCATGGAGCCAGAAGGGCCCTCAGAGATCATCTGCTCTAAACATCAGGGAGAAAGACAGAGGAAGGGGTGGTGTGAAGGGGTCAGGAGGCCAGGGCTAAATTATGGACATTGGTCCTAAATCCCCTCGTGTACACAGATGGCAACTACCCCTTTTCCTCCCTTCCTCCTCTCACCCTCTGCTAGAGGTAAACTAATTCCTGCTCCAGTGTTCCTGACAAAGGGGTCTTAACTCCCGGGGGTCTCTTTCTGCACTGGAATATGGAGGGGCATTTGGGAGACTGAAAATCCTTAGGATCCCAAAAGAACGAATCTCTAATGGTAGAACTTGACTGAAGGAGATATCTCGGGGGCAAGGGGCCTATCTAAACCCCTTGAAATCATACCACATAGGCAGCTGCCTCTTCTGTCTAGAGAGGTCAGCCCAGTTTACCCAGGGATGAGCCATGTGACCTTCTGGCATCCAGACCAATCTCGGGGCAAATTAGTACCGAAGGCCCAGGAAGAAATGGGGAGCTCACCCTGGCCTCCAAATGGTTAAGGGGGTGGAGAAGTGCCAGCCATATTCTCCTTGTTACCAACAAAATCCACCCACACATCGACCAAGGGGTGGGGGTGGGGAATGACGATGAACAGCTCTGCAGCATGGTTCCACTGAGCTCAAAAGTGATCTCAGAGCTCCCTCTGGGCCCCTGCACTGCACCAACGTTCCCAGCTCCCAACCACTCCCCTCCACCTCCCGCCCTGGGCCTCTGAGTCACTGCCTACAAAAGGCACACCGGTGTTGGAGCCCTCTCCAGCCAGTCAGCATCAAATGGGTCCCAAGCCTGAACACGGACCCTGAGAACCATGAGAAGGGAAGGGGGAAACACAGTCCCCTGCCTTCTGAGAAATCTTTGGGTGGGTGGCAGAGACACAGTCCCCACCTTCCAGCAGCCTTCACTATGGGTGGGAGGGACATAAGGATAACAGTAGCTCACCTTCATGACGCACTTTTAAGTTTTACAAAACATTTTACACATGCCATCTCATTTGACCCTCATAACCCTGTGAAACCAGTGCTATTATGAGCCCCCATCTGACAGACAAGGAAACAAGAGGCCCCAAGTGACCTGCCTGGGATCACTTAGTTGATAAGTTGAGGCAGAATGTGAACTTAGATCTTCCTGATACCAACCCTTGGTGTTATCCACATTATGCCACAGGGTTTCTCCAGGCACTGACTAGTCCCTGGCCTAAGGGCACTTTTACTCTTCTTCCCTGGGGAGGAAAGAAACCCACAAGGGCTAGCAATAAAGATGAAAGGGCCCCAAGGGAAAGACGAGAGGGTCATATAAACAAGATGAACTTGTTCACAGCACTAGGGAGGGGCATAGGGCTAGGAAATACAGTTGAAACCAAGAGATTTGAGTTCAAATTCTAACCCTTTTGTGACTCTGGGCAAATCAAGGCAGAAGGGTTAGGAAGTAGACCCTGAGATTTTTCACCAGTGTCTCTCTAGTCAGACATGCTGCCCCCCTTTATACTTGCAACATTCACTTCTTTCTTCATGGCTGCTGTGAGCAAAGTGCTTTCTAAGCCTTAAATGGTGATATCAGCCTAAGCCAAAGGCCATGGCCAGGTGACCCACGACAGTTTTCTGGTGGAAGGGAGTTTTGAGCAGCATTTTGAAGGAGAGAGGCAGAAAGGATTCGGGGGAACAGAGTAAGGGCTTTTCAGCTCTGGAGCCTGTGGGAAGGCTCCAGGATAAGAAATGCCTGGTTGTGTTTAAGGAAGAATGAGCAGTCTTCCTGAGCTCCAGCTAGGCAAATGCCAGTGGTCCCCTAACTCCAGCTGGCCAGCTCCCCTAAGAATAACCCCAGTGACAATCTTGACACTCATTAAAATAACATTCAGGGGCAAATGTGAGAAAGGACAGGAAGCTCCTCTCACCCGAGGGCCACCTAGAAGGGAATGCCAACAACTGTTAGCTGGTGATGGACGCAGGCTTATCCTCACTGTGGCCTGTAGGCCTGGAAAAGCTGACCCTCCAAGGCACGGACTCTTTCCGTCATCCTTGGAACTGTGACCTGCCAGCAACCAGCGCAGGGTGATGTCGAGACTCTGCCAGGGAGAAGGAAATGACCACTCCAGGTCAGAGACTGTGGGCCCCCAGCAACTACAAAATCAGCATCAGGGAAAAACAGTTCCTAAGAAGTTAGGTCAGGGGGTGCTGAGGGAGGCCCCGTGGCAGCAGGCATGCTGGCAAGGCAAGGCTGGCCACAAGGTGTGATGTGGTTACCACAGGAAGAGCAGCTTGTCTGTGGCACGGTTGCCATGGTTTTGGGCAGGGTGTCTGGGCTGGGCTGTGGTTGCCAGGCTGCAGCTCTGTCAGTAGCTGCTGTCAACAGGACTGGGGGAAGGGGAGGATGTACGCAGTGGGGAGGGGGCTAGTGGGTAACGGAGGAAACCCACAGCTACAGCTCAGAGGCCGACCAAGTCTGTAGCAGTAAATGGCTCAGAGATTTCAGAAAACGGGGAAAAAACGCAGTTCAGAAAAACCAATTGACACACTGGGTCTGATAGCATATTCCAGTCACAGGCCTCCAATTCTGCAAGGAAGATTCAGTTACTATTATTATTATTATTATTATTAAAGAGATCACAAGATCTCTTTAATAAATGAGATCTCTCTGCTGCTGGAAAGGGTATCAGAATGTAGAGTCTCGGAGGGTAAGGACTGATCCCACTTTCGTAACTGTAGTCCCAAGTTAACGGTACTTGGCACTGCCCTGGACAGGCCCATTCTTTGCCTTCCCCCACCCCACCCCCAAGGCTTTTTCAGGACCTAAATCT